ATCCCCCAAGAACCAAAGGAAGGTTCGAATATTGCTCTCCCCAAAAACAAAAACTCTCTTGTGCTTTTAAGAACACTAACTCTCAAAAATTCAGAATAAAGAGAAGAGTGCTTCTCTTCTTTATACCCTTGTGATCTCGGCAGCAAGAAGAAGAAGAAGAATGGAGTAGAGTGGTGTGAGAATTTTCGAAAAACAGCACTCCTATTTATAGGCAATGCAAGTCTTTTTGTGCAAGAAAGCTCCTACAAGATAGGACCTAAAATTTCTCAAAAATATTTCCCGCTTAATTGATAAAATTTCAGTCGACAAGATGGAATAAGAAGGAAGAAATTCGGCTAACATATATATAAAAGGATAGAGTCCTAAAACTTAGGTAATCAAAATCCCTTTTGGACACAACTTATGAACTATGTCATAAAACAATGAAAGATTCATCCCTACTATTTAGAGATAAAAAAAATCCGACTCCCTACTACAAATAGGACTCAAAAACTCGGTCAACACACAAGCACAATTGTATTAAAAGGCTCAAAAATTTTCAGATTAAGATAAGACTTCCTTATCTCAATAGTTTTCAAAAATAGACTCACTTTAAAACTCTAATTATAATCTCACTGAAATTATAATTTAACTCATGCAAAAATTAGTATTTAAATCCAAGTAGGACTCAAATAAAACACACAATAAAATTGTATTACCATTAGGAAACAAAGGCTAAAAAATTTCGGCCAATGTGAACACTAAAATCCAAGACCGAATAAGTCTCAAATCATAACACAATTTGGACTCAATGACCTTAATTTTAGGGATAAAATTTTCGGCCATGTGAACACACAAATACATGACGAATAGGTCTCAAAGTGTAACACAAATAGAAACCAAAATTCAAGTTCGACTAGGAATAGGAAACCCTAATTTTTAGCTCAAAATTCGGCTATACTATGACTCTAAAATTCAAAACCAACTAGGGTTACAACTCCACATAAAACACACGCACACACATGCTTAAATTCAGCAAAAATATGACATTTAACCTTTACCATATAGTTAAAATTTGAAAAATTACTTTTGACTCACTTTAAAAAGAAAACTTGGAAATTACCACTTTCCAAAATGTCTAACAACTTTTAGAATACTTTCTAAAAACCACTTTCCAAATTGTATATCGAATTAACAAAAATCACTTTTTACCAAACAATCTATGGCAAATAAAGTAATAAGAACACCATAACTATAATGAAGTTGGAATTTAAAGTTCTTCATTGAACTATGACGTTTCCTTCATAATACTCAATTTAACACAAACTATTCATAAGACTCCATGACTCAACAAGGTCATCTCCATAAGTGACCATTTGAAAATCAAATTTTCCAAAGACCAAATATGTAAACTTCAAGAACATATCTCAAAGCCTATAAGATTTCTTGTTATATATAAGAAAATCTTTAGTAAAACTTCACTCAATTCTCGATTCAACTCTCGAAAATTAAGGTTTTAAACACAAGTCAAAGACTTCAACCCTTAAAGTTGGCACAATTCAACTTCAAAGACCTTGAAACATTTGATACCAAAATTGATATCACTAAAATTCATTCTTCATCAAATGATAAAGAAAGTTTTGAAACTCAAGTTAAGAATCATGGAAAGTCCAATGATAGGAAGATCCACTAATTCGACTCATTCTCAAAGTATAAACTTATGAGATACCAAAAACCGACATTTGTTACTTTTGAAAATCTTTTGACACTAAGATTTAAACAAAAACAAGCTAATCAAACATGAATCGGAACTCTATGAAATTCTCATTGATTGAAAATCCATAAATTCCATTTTACTCATTAGATTCAAATGAGAACCAACAAGAAGGAAGGCTTTTTCATTTATACTTTATGTAGAAAGTACCAAATCACTAAGCTTCACCTTTCAAAGAATAGATCCAAGATATTTGCCACAAGATAAACTCTCAAACCCTCCTCATGTAAAAACATCTCTTTAGAAAGAAAAGGCTATCTCGAGCAAGAAGCTCTTCTTTTGCATAAATTCTCTCCTTAAAGATTCAACACATAAGATCCACTAACTTGCTCATAGGAGAAACAGTTCTCTACCTGCAAATCAAGGATAAATTTCAAGATGTAGCGCCCACTTTGACTAGATACCAATGTACCATCATCATGCTCTATCATAGACCTCAAAATAACACCACAAGATCAAACAAATGTGTAAGAAGTCTCGCACAACCACACAAAAGACAAGATCAATTTTGAAAACGTAGTTTTCACAAGAATATGATTTATTTTTTCCAAACCCATTCTGCAACAAGAAGGAATCTTGAAACAAATAAAGATAGTACTACTCGTTAGTAGCACAAAACTTGATTACCACACCAAGAAACGGATTCCGTGGTAACTCAAGATATTCTCAAAACCAAGAACTATGAAGTCCTCAATTAAAAAGAAATCTCTCGAAAATCAAACTTATACTAAAAATTGATATGATAATATCAATTAATACCATCACTTAGATAGTTCAAGCACTGATACCAGATACTGATAGCAATCTCGTAGATGAAACAAATTTCGTTAATGCAACCATCAAACAATAAAGTATGAAGATAAGTTGTCTATCTCGTGAAACTCAAAAGAGTGCGGAAAATTCATAGTAAGACGATCGTTTATCTAAGGAATTCTATCTCTTAACTCAAATTAAGCAAAGAACACATAATCTATGAAAGATTCGAATTAAACAACAACTCACACTAAGAATAGTAAGGACACCATTCAATATACTCGATCAGTCATCATTCAAGAGACTCAAGAAAGGTAGGAGCAAACAATGCTCAACTATGAAGGAATACTATTGATTAGTAATCTCCATAACCAATAAAGATATGCAGCACATACACTATCTCAAAATGCTTATGCCAAAGCAAAACTCATCCAACAAAAGTAGGACAAACCCCACAAAGGAACTCATAAACACACACATCATGAATTCGAAAACCATAGCCAAAAGAAAGGCTCAACTCTCGAACTACTAAAGTAGTATGAAAATAAGATGTTTAGTTTTAAAACAATATCCAAATGACTTATCCTCAAATAAGATAATACTTAAGGAATCTAAGACTCCTAATCAAAACAATCTAGTTTAATTCAGTCCACATGACTTATTTAACTAGATAAATTTGAAAATAAACTCCTAGACTAGATACTCTAAATCTCAAAAATCAGCTACAAATATTGAAGTAAAATGTCTTGAACGCCCTTCCAAAAGTGAAATATTGGTCTTGCGCCCCTTAAGTTGTAGATAACTCCAATTTACTCCAAAACTTATAGAATTCTCTTTATTGACTCCAAAAGATTGGAAAAACACTTGAAACAATTGAGATAGTTTGCAACCTATCCAATTGTGTAGCAATCGACTCACTCTTGAACACTTGATCAAATAGGCCGTCCATTCAAGAACTAAATGATTCTTCTCACTAGCTTGATCAATGATCTTCATGGAGCACCTAGAGTCAAACTCCTTTGATACTCTTGAGCACTTATTTCCATGAGTGAATCATCTCTTTTGGTTTGAACCCCAAAGTTAATGACATTCTCATCATCTTGATCATAGCTCTCTTGAACCAACACCCTATCACATAGGTAGTCAAGATCCATCCTTTCTTCCTTGATTGGTCTGCAAAGTAAACTTGGCATTCAACTAGAATGAAGGACTAGCTCATTCCCCTCACTAGGAGAATCACCATGGAAGGCTATATGAGTCTCATCATTATGGTTCTACATAACTTGAATATTATAAAAATGGTGCATTTGGCGACGAGTGTTAATATCAAAGATGATGGAAGATTAAGGCCAAAGTTATGGTTCGCGTCAAGCAAAAAAATAAGTCGACAAAGAAGTTGACAGGGCACGTCGACTTTGTGGCCGAGAGAAAGAAGTCGACAAAAGAGTCGACAGTTGTTCATCGACCTTTCTGTCACCCGACACTAAAGCCGACGGCAGAATCCTAATTTCCGAATAATTGATTTTTAACAATTTTTCTTGAAGTTTTACAAAGTTTTCGGCCTTCCACATGTCGAATTCAACTCCAAGAAGAATTTCCAAGGTGGTGGATGAGAATTGAAATTTTTATTCAAGAGAAATTATATTTTATTATGTTTTCCTTTTTAGACTAGGTTTTGTTTCCTTTGTGTTGGGTTTTGAATTTTCCTTATTGAATTCGGCCTCACATGTTTTTACCTTTTTTTAGGATACTTTTAATATTAAATAATTATGGCATGTAATATTATTTAATTATTTCTTAATTTTTAAGTTTTAGGAATCTTCTAGTCCAAGAAATACGAATAAGAGTTATAATCGAATTTATTTTCCTCTTTGGCCGACCTAGACTCTCTCTTGTGGCCAATAGATAGGGGATATGGTCGTGGTTTTGAGGTAGAATATGGAATGACTTCAATAATAAAGAATTTTATTCATAAACTTGTGAAATCTCTCATTATTTTGTTATTCTTGCGAGAATAACTTGCTTTTCAACAAACTAGGGTTTGTTCTTGAAACGTAACTAACCTTGGCCAAGTTTTCAAGTATTCTTGGTCTGTGGATGCTTTATTTGAGATTTTAGTTGAGCACACCAAGCCTTTCAACGTTGATCTATAACGTGTGGGGAGTTTCGGGTCGTTTTGACTAGAGTTTCAAATCTTAAATAACTTCTCCATCTTTCCTTCCCTTCCATCACGTTTTTTTGCTTGGATTGTTGTTGGTATAGCTGTTCTTTTTCGTGATTTGTGTGCTTGCATAGGTTTTACTTCGTGGTTATACAAAGATTCAAACATCCAGGCAACTTTTCAAGTCAAGTTTCCGCAATAATCGCGCCTCGGATAAAGATTCATATCATTTTATGATATTGAAGTATCAACTATTCCACCTGAACCAACTATACAAGTATATATATATGGACAAAACGCACTTTTCGTCCCCCAGCTTTTGGGGGTGGTAAGATCGAGTTACCATGAATTTTTAATTGCCAAAAATAGTACCCTAAAATTTTTTTTCATCAATTTCGGTTAATTTAACAGAAATTTTTAGTCAGCGGTCAATTCCTTTCCTCTGTTAATTTTTTATATTTTATTATTTTCTTCCTAATTGCGGGGCCCACAAACTCTAATCGGCAAAAAAATTTTCATTTTCTTTTTTCGTTTCTGAAAAAAAATCGAGGAAAGGGGCGGCTGCGGCATGAATCATTATCATATATAACCATCAATCAATTTCCGTTGGAAGAGAATCCATTGAGTTTTGTTTTTTGTCATAATAAATCAATCGGAGACCGATTTGGAAGCTGCCGGAGCAGCGTCGCTTTAGTTCCGTTTATTGTCGCTCTGAACTCAGAGCTGTTGTAATCTTCGTGCAGGAATTAAAGGAAGCATTGGACGCCGACATACAGGACCGGCTAATGAAGGAGAGGGAGATGTGAAGTCGCTGAGCGTGAAGCCGCTTGAAAGGCCGAGCTTTCTCGCCGGGAGGTATTATCATCAACTCTTCCGCCACCGCCGCCGCCGACCCTCTCAATTTTTTTCAGAAACGAAAATAGAAAATGAAAATTTTTTGCTGGTTACAGTTTTAGGGGACTATTCTTCAACAACTTCTCTAAAGGTGAATGATAGGATTGAAGCAACTCCGAGTGTTTCTTGAATAACTTTTGTTGTCATTAGCATCTTTTTGGTATCAGCCGAAGTCATAGCCTCACAATCTTATTTAGTCTTCAATATAACTTCTTGTTCTTCCTGAAAAAATCACATCGTGAAAAATAAAACCAATTATTGTTGCGTCTAAAAATGCAATTGTCATTCTTTAAGTGACATTTTTGTTAGCATATTTGGCCCAAAAATTTTTAAGGCAAAACTTACTATGATAACTTGTAGGACACTGGGATTCTCTCCAAGGTATTTAAGGATCCATGTAAGAACCTAGCTGTGGTGTCTCTAGCTGCAAAGATGACACCAATAACGTTGTCTGCAATTTGTTCATCAGTTAGGCCTTCTTTGTCTCCCATGAATGATCCCAACAAATCATTGTAATTGTGCTTCATTTCCCTCCTCACAGAGATGATTTTGGCTAAGATCTGAGCTAATTCTTTCCTAGCTTTCATGGCTTTGTGGAAAAGTGTTCCAGGAAGATTAATTGGCATGGAATTGTATCCCTTCTCAAGAATGTAATAGCACCTCTTAAGATCTTCTCTGCAGTGAATCTCATCCTTTCCCAATATAAAAAGTAATGCAACATTGAAAATGTACTGCACAAAAAGTCAAAATCCAAAAACAATTTTAGTAAGCAAACAAACAGAGCAAAAGAGAAAAAAAGGAGTGACAAAAAAAAAAAAAAACAGAGTACTCCTCCTCCTCCTTTGAAGTCTGTAATACTTACGGTTTTCATTTCTTGAAAACTGTTGATCATTCTTCCTTCCGATGATTCGAGTGACTCGACAGCAACCGATTCAATGTCGGAATGATGTGCTTGATGGCTTCTAGAGTGAAAGCTCGAAGGACTAATTTCCTCAACTTGGTGTGATAGTCGCCTTGGTAAAAAAAATGGCTTGTTTCCCCAACATCCTTTTTTTGCTTGCTGGGAATATCGGCTTAAAGAGATGAGCTTTGGTCACAAGAACAAGCTTTGCTGCTTCTGGGACATCCAAGAATATGAGTCTTGAATATCGAACCAAATATGTTCCAAATAAATACAAAAAATTGGCAACACATTCCATTTTTTCTTGGCATAAGAAATCCTAGGAGTTGGGATGTGTAAATGTAAGCGTTGGATGGCGGGCTGCCGCCGCCTGCTGCCGGATTCTTTTTTCAGGTTCTAAAAGCTAATTGGAGGAGAAAATAGAATTTTTTAAAATTTTGGGTATTAATCAAGGGCAAAAGACTCCTCACAATGAATGTTTTTTGGTGTTTTAGGCATTGACGAGGGTGTATTTGATATTAACCCTAAAAAGAAATGAAAAAGAAAAAATATTTTTTTTACTTGGTCAAATAGTGGGCCCAATTATTTAGGAAATTAATAAAAAATAAAAAACTTAATGAAAAGAAAGATTGACCCGTAAGTTTGAACAAATTCTGTTAAATTGACCAGAATTGATAAATAAATAGTTTAGGGGACTATGTTTGCCAATTAAAAATTCATGGTGACTCGATCTTGCTACCCCTAAAAGTTGAGGGATGAAAACTGCGTTTTGTCCAATATATATATATATATATATTGGATCAAGGTAAATGATTTGTATTAACTTTTGGTCTCTACAGTCACCAAAGTTTTATGATACTAAAGTATCAACTATTCCACCCGAACCAACTATACAAGTATAAACTATGCAGTACTTCTAAATCCAATTTGCTCTAAGTATCTAATATCTTCATTACTAGCAAATCTGCAAGAAAATTGAAGTTTCGAAGCAACTTCCTTTACGATTGCCAACTTCCTGTCTTCCACTGTTGATTCTTTCAGGCCAATCCTCCTGCAATTTTGTTCTGTCTAGAAGTGATGTATAGCAACCATTATAGTAGCATACAACACCCCCTGCTTTACTTTCCTGTATCTCCAAATTTTATGCACTCTGTGAAACCAGCTAGGAATAGATCATACTTGCACTTTCAATCCCAACCAATCCAGCAAGGAGATCATTATTGATGAGAATCATGTAACCTTCCATGGAGGTTCTCCTAATGAGGAGAATGAGCTAGTCCTTCATTCTAGTTTGTGATGCCAAGTTTACTTTGCGGGCCAACCAAGGAAGAAATGATGGATCTTGACTACCTATGTGATAGGGAGTTGGTTCAAGAGAGCTATGATCAGGATGATGAGAATGTCATTAACTTTGGGGTTCAAATCAAAGGAGATGATTCACTCATGGAAATAAGTGTTCAAGAGTATCAAAGGAGTTTGACTCTAGGTGCTCCATGAAGACCATTGATCAAGCTAGAGAGAAGAGTTATTTAGGTTCTTGAATGGACGGCCTCCTATTTGATCAAGTGTTCAAGAGTGAGTCCATTGCTACACAATTGGATATGTTACAAACTATCTCAATTGTTTCAAGTGTTTTTCCATTCTTTTGGAGTCAATAAAGAGAATTCTACAAGTTTTGGAGTAAATTGGTGTTATCTACAACTTGAGGGGTGCAAGACCAATATTCCACTTTTAGAAGGGCGTTTAGGACATTTTACTTCAATATTTGGAGCTGATTTTCGAGAATTAGAGTATTATCTAGTCTAGGAGTTTAATTTTCGAATTTATCTAATTAAATAAGTCATGTGGACTGAATTAAACTAGAGTGTTTTGATTAGGAGTCTTAGATTCCTTTTAAGTATTATACTATTTGCGGATAAGTTATTTAGATAAGATTTCCTAGATTTTAGATAGAGTCAAAGAGATTAAATACTCTTCTACTTCTACTCCTGCGTGAGATAAGATTAGAGAGTCCTAGTTGGTCTTCTTTTTGGTGCTTTGGCCGAAATTGTTAGCCTATAAATAGGGGGGATGGCCGAAAATTAAAGCACCCATGTGTGGTCATTTTGAGTCTTCTCTAATGAGAGTTTTTCCTATGAGGATTTTTTGTTAAATGGTGTGTCCATTTTTCATTTGTCAAGTATGATTTAACCAAGAGGGTTTTCATCTTGTCTTGGATCTTTTGATCTTGCAGAAACCGTTCTTTTTGAAGTATGCTTCTTGATTGAATTGTTTTAAAGCTAAACTTCTTATTTTCATACTACTTCTAGTAGTTTGAGAGTTGAGCCTTTCTTTTGGCTATGGTTTTCGAATTCATGATGTGAGTGTTCATGAGTTCATTTGTGGGGTTTGTCCTACTTTTGTTGCATGAGTTGTTCTTAGGCATAAGCATTTTGAGATAGTGTTTGTGTTGCAAATCTTTGTTGGTTATGGAGATTACTAATCAATAGTATTCCTTCATAGTTGAGCATTGTTTGCTCCGACCTTTCTAGAGTGTCTTGAATGATGACTAATCGAGTATATTGAATGGTGTCCTTACTATTCTTAGTGTGAGTTGTTGATTTGAATCTTTCATAGATTATGTGTTCTTTGCTTGGTTTGAGTTAAGAGATAGAAATCCTTAGATAAATCGTCTTACTGTGAATTTTCCGCACTCTTTTGAGTTTCACGGGATAGGCAAATTATCTTCGTGCTTTCTTGTTTGATGGTTGCATTAATGAAGTTTGTTTCATCTACGAGATTGCTATCAATTAGAGACTTTGCATAGCTACATTCAAAGAAGAGATGTTGAATTGTTTCTGAATTCCCTGAGCACAGAAAGCATTTGATTGGATCCTTCAGTATATGATGTTTTTCTAGGCTGTTTTGGGTTAACAACCTGTCCTTTACAACCAACCACCCTATAAAACAATGCTTGGGAATGGCATAAGGACTCCATATAACCTGTTCTGACAATGTAAGGCTTTCCTGAATTCGGCATCCATTTGCCATCTTGCATTCCTCTTCTAATCTGATCTCTAATTTGAATGATGTGCTTCCAGTGCCAGCTACAATCTGCTGGTGGTTGGTAGTCCCAAAATCCCTGTTCTTTATATAATACATGTGAACCCATCGAATCCAAAGGCACTTATAACCTGTTCTGACAATGTAAGGCTTTCCTGAATTCGGCATCCATTTGCCATCTTGCATTCCTCTTCTAATCTGATCTCTAATTTGAATGATGTGCTTCCAGTGCCAGCTACAATCTGCTGGTGGTTGGTAGTCCCAAAATCCCTGTTCTTTATATAATACATGTGAACCCATCCAATCCAAAGGCTTTCCTTTTTATTAGCTACATCCGAAACCTGCTTCCCAATCAAAGCTCTATTCCAGACTTCAGGGTTTTTTACATGTAAACCCCCTTTTGACTTATCTTTACAAACATCAGTCCAAGCAACTAAATGACCAACTTTTCTCAAATTCTTTAGTTCCCCAAAGAAATGTTCTACATATTCTCTCCATTTGACTGATCACTTTCTTAGATAAAATGAAAACCCTGGACCAATAAGAATGTAAGTGCAGTAATACAGAGTTTACTAAGACTAACCTTCCTGCATAGAAGAGGTGTCCTGTAACCCAGCTTTTGATTCTTCACGTCACCTTTTCCGCTAGGATTCACAGTCCATTTCATTCCAAGCTATAGGAGATACATGAACACCTAAATACTTGAACGGGAAGTTACCTTTGTTGAATCTCATAATTTCCAAAATCTGCTTCCGTAATGCTTCATTAACATTCCCAAAGTGCATAGTAGACTTCTTCACATTGACAGATAATCCTGTATGGCTTCAAATTCATCCAAGACCTTTCTGATTGTCTTCACAGTGCTTATGTCAGCCTGATAGAGAATTCTTAAATCATCTGCAAAACAGAGATTAAGTGCTTGTTTGGACAAAGTTTTGTTTTAGTTTTTGATTTGGATTTGATTTGAAAAGTATTATAGTATAGTGAACATTTATGTCATTAAAATAATTCAGTGACCAAAATGAAAATTTTTCAATAGTGTGATGACCAAACACAAGACTTTACAATAGTTCAATGACCAAACACAACACTTTACAATAATTCAGTGACCAAACGCAATAAAGACTTTGCAATAGTTCAGTGACCAAAATGAAGAATTTACAATAGTATAATGACCAAGTGCAACATTTTAAAAGGTAAATTAAAAAGTTACTTGGATAGTGCATTGGGATTTGTGCTTAAGACATAAAATGAGACAGAAAGTAAAATAAGTGGTTGGGCAAGGGATGATAATTAAATTCACCTTGTGTTGTTGCTTTCTGGAACATCCTAGTTAAGCATTCTATGACTAGAACAAACAGAAGAGGCAAGAGGGGATCTCCCTGTCTAAGCCCGCTCTTTCCTGCAAAAAAAACCCTACAATACTATCATTGCTATTAAGTGAGTAGATGCATGTTTTTGTACGTTCTAGCACCCATGCAGTAAACTTCGGAGGGAAACCAAACTATGGGATCATTTCGGCTCCAAAGTCCCAATGTATGGAGTCAAAGACTTTACGGAGATCCACCTTTAATAAGCAGCAAGGTTTGGAGTTTTTTCTTCTGTAAATCCTGATGAGCTCCTATGTTAACAGAATGTTGTGCAGGATTGATCTCTTTTGAATAAAAGCACCTTGATTATAGTCTATAATCTCTGGAAGTATTCTACTCGACCTAGTGCTAAGAATTTTCGTTATGCATTTGTAAACCGTGTTACAACATGCAATAGGCACGTTGAGCAGATTTGGGGTGAAGTCAATTGACATATTTTCAGTATGTCAAACATGTAACTTTCCTGAAAATCTTATATTGATTATAATAATAAAAATTTTATAAAATTGTGAAATAATTAAATAATATTAAATTAATATTAAAAATGCCAACTTCAATTTTTTTTTCAACTTTTTCATTAAAAAAAACTCTTACCTTAACCCATCACTTTACGCCGCTTAAACCCAAAATTCTCTTCTCCAATTGTTCTCTCCTAAATTTCTAAATGAGCAATGTCATTCGCTCCATTAAAAAAATCTTCCAAAATCACAACAAGAATATCAACTCTGTAATTTTTTTGGCTGAGATGTTTTTCCAAAAAATGATTGCGGTGTTTTTTTTAATATTTTTTTACTACTGGTTGCGGTGTGAATTTTAGTTCTTTTAGATGAAAGATAGAGGAGTCATTCCAATTTAGGGGTGAATAATGGGTGTCAACGTTTGAGTGGGATACGTCTATATAGGATGAAAATTCTACAGTTGTGGGCTAGAGTTTAAAGAAAATTGACTGACAAAGTAAAAACAAAAATCTCCACTTTGTCTTAAAAAAAATTAGTAGTAGTACAAATCTCCAAACTTATTGTGAATTATATTTTTGGGACTGGGGAAGTATTGCTTTAATATTATTTAATTCAATATAAGATTTCTTGGGAAA